CATTTGAGATGCCCTAGGAGGCACAGAAAGTCCTTCATATGCCTCCTGGAAATGACTGGGAGTTGGGGGTAGCTGGTATTTTGCTGCCTCCTGCATTCACCCTGGGGCTGTTTCGGTTTCTTTTATTCTACAGGAAGAACATCCTATGGCTATTCCTCACCCTTTTCTGGGCAAGTCACTTCTGCCTCCTTGCTCCTGGTCAGGGTGCCTGTTGCCTCATCGCTAGGGGGGAGTATGTCTACCAGTGTGCAGAAGCGGGGACACTGGTGAGCAGAAACCACTGGGTTGCAGGGCTCCTCAGGCCTTGCGGCCAGCAGCGCTCCACCTTGAGAAATCCTGCACACAGAACTGGGGCAGGGGCTGTGGTGGGCGTTCAAACGAGTGAGCTCTAGGCCCCAGATCTTCACAGGCAGGGCGAGATGGGAGGTCGGTGCTCACACTACAGGAAAGCCAGCTTTCCCCTTCCTTACCCGATGAACTCCCAGAGGTTAGAGACAGGCCCAGGCCTGCATGAGCACATCCCTGGGAGGGCTGGGGGAGGTCTTGGGCCTCCAGTCACAAGAGGGCACTCATCGAACCACTAAACACAAATGGGGTGGCTACTGAGGGAGCGTAACAGAGAATTCACAGTTGGGGCTGCGTGGGACAGACTGGCAGCAGGTCCAGGTGGCAAAGGGTGGTGACCTACCCCAGCAGCACCTGGACGCCAGGTATCAGCTGCAGCAGAAACAAAGGCCAGAGGGAGTGACTGAGGCCAGCTTCTGAGAAGGACACAGAAAGGGGGCAAAGGTGTCATGGTGGCCACACTGTGGCATCTGAAACAGACTGATGAACTCAGGCAACTAGGAAGGCTCAAAGGGCTGGCGATGACAATGAGAATGACAGCTCCGGTGTGAGGGAGGCATGAGGGACATCTTCTCTCAGGAGAAGGGGATTATTACATTTTGAGGTCCTACAAGTAAAACCAGTTCAGGTGACTCATGTACTCAATTTGCCTGGAACTACGCTGGGAGCTAAAGACACAAACTATTTAGAGATGTAGGAGATACACCAGAAATCACTGCCAACAAAAAAGAAAAGGTCAGAGTACAACCTAGTGGCCTGCCTGTGGGCCAGCATGGAGTTGTGTTATGTAATGGCTTCTGGAGGCGGCACTCCTTCACCATCAATCTCTCCAAGCCCTGCGGGTCCACACCAGCTGCTTCGCAAATGTACTGGCCTGGCTGGATGGCATCTGAGCTCGCAACCCTGGGCCAGCAGCTCCGGTCCTGTCACTAGGACCTTCTTCTTCATACCTTCACATCAAGCTACCTATTACACAAGATCTGGAAATCTATCTACCTGCCACAAAAGGAAAAGCTTTCCACTAAAGGAACATCTTTCACGAACACCTTTGCTAATAACCAAGCGGCTACAATGTGATGAAGTAAACACAAAAATCAAGGGTTTTTTAGAAGTAGTTTTAAGACGTGAGGCTTAAGTTAAAAGATGCAGTGTGGTAAAGGCATAGAATTATTAAATCAGAGGGCTGAGTCACCCCTCTCAGGCCTGGCAAACTTTGGCTGGACAATGTTATCTATTTGAGAAACAGTATTAAGATTCCACAGTAATGTGATAGGGTGTGTCACCACAAAGCGAGGAGTGTCACTATGGTTGTGGGAAAGGGAGTCGTTTTTCCACCTCTAAGTGTTGCTGCCAACATCTCAAACGCCTGGGATGAAACCCCAGCATGCCATGAACCAGACTTCCAGAATGGGGGGGCAGCTGGGAAGGAGCGAGGTGGGAGGCAGATACTTACTGAAGTGGGAAAGAGAGACAGGTGTGGAGGCTGCTTCTGGCCTTTGTCGTTGGTTGCTGTAGCACTATGGGCAGGAGGACGCAGCAGAGACACCGGCAGCCAGCATCTTGGCCTGCTGGTCATCCAGTTTGAATGAGACATAGTAAATTTCAGGTCTCCCCTACTTTCTGAGCCTACCGGGTCCTGCCTGACCCATTGCTTATTTTTTCCCTACTAGGAGGTGTCTCAGACTCCTGACAAGCTTTTGGGCCTCAGCTGCCCCTCTCTGGGTCCTCTCTTTGGCTGGGTGTATGCCCACAAGGGGACAGGTGATTTCAGACTTTGATTGGGACTCTGTTATTTGAAATTCTTCTCTTCCCCTTCTATATCCTTTGAACCTCACACTGATTAAAAATCTCTGAGGACGCTGTAAATCTGCTTTCTTTTATGCATATCTCTTAGAATGAGCCCCTTAACAGTTTTGGGTCCCTGGGCACCCCTGTGTTTCACCTGACATCAGGAAGACTGCTGGCTGTTTCCCCTACTAGCCAGCCTGTTGCTTAGTAATAGACTGTGATTATTAACTGAGCTGACTGCCAGCCAGAATCAAATTCTCCAGGTCCCACCTCCCCTGCAGCCAGCTGTAACTTTGTCACTTCATTCTAGTCAATTAATGCAAACAGATGTGTTGTGCTGGACTTCTGGGGGGTTACTGGGTGCCAGCTCGACATGTGAGCACCTATTACACTGTTTCTGCTGTTAGCCTTCCTTCAGGTCTTGGACTTGCACTAATAACTGGCACTTAACAGTCATCCTGGGTCACAAGCCAACCCTGCGGACACACAGGCATACTAGGATGAGGCAGTGAAAAGCAGGAGTCTGGGTCTTCCTGTCCGTGTGGGGCACCTGAAAACCCCCACAGGTTTCCAAAACAAATGAATCCATACCTTGTTTTCATTACCATTATTTTATTTTGTTTTTCAGATTATGTGCAGTCAAACCTAGACTTACTATATGTCAACATGAGATGCTACCTGCTATATGTATCTCGCTAGCAATAAGCAGCAAGAGATTTTTACAGTAGGTGACCAGGATAACAAGATGTTTTAATAAGTCACTCTTTTTACTGAACTTTTTATAATGAATAAGTTTTTCCACAAAGTCAGCCCCCCCCATCTATACAAACTCTTTTTTTTCTAAATATTCAGAATCAACTAACACAAATCATTCAGGGAATTTTGCCCTCATATGACAGTGACCAAAATCCAATTCTCTGGAACCTAGGGAGGCCTGTATCCCCAGGACTGAAGAAGTAATGACTCTCAAAGAAGTGGCCCAGCACATCTAAAATGATTTCCAAGTCATGCACACTGGAGAAAGAGAGGGGGTCTTTACGGTTCGTGCTGGAATGATAGGATCCTAGGCAAACAACCCCCCAAAGACAAACGTTAAGGAGCCACCCAAACTCATGCACTAGTTTTACAACAGGTAACACTGTAGCACCAGACAGCAGTCCTTTAACTCCTGCCCCAGAGCACCAAGCCTGAAGGCTTCTTATTACCAGTCCTGACACCCACTTAAGGAAAAAGGAAGGACCAGGGGTTTATCTTCTGGGTTACAAATGACATTCAAGTGCAGTGCCATCACCTGCAAAGAGCAGACCTTGGTAGGCTAGCTCCTCTTTCACAAGAGCCCAGACGTGCAAACACAAATCTCATAAAAGGTAAACCTTGTATTTACAGCATGAAATTGCCCCAATATAAAACTTTATAGGGGAAACCATTCACTTTTATAATGTCATTAACCCCGCCTAACTTTTAAAATGAGCTCAATTATGAAAGGTTAGAGCACTTTGTCCAGTCTCTCAATATATAAGTATCTAGGAAAAAAGTAAAGGAACTTCAGTTCCTATATTACATTTTTATCATCACATCTGTTTATTCTTACCCCATCATCCAAAGTAACCTCTAAGGCAGAAGTGTCTTTGAAAAGAAGTCACCAGAAGTTTTAATTTATTGAAGACATTTAAAGAACAGACTTTTGGAGATGGGATAGAATAAGTACATGCTGAGAAGCGAAAAAGTTTATTTTATGTAACTTAAATCCCTCATGTGCACTATAATCACTTCCTGACTTTTCAGTTAATGAAAGATCACATATACCATGATGGTCCCAAAAAGTCCCACCCTAAGTCCAGGCGAGCAGTAGCCAGGGGTACAGAAGAGCATAATTTAACTCTGTGATGCTCCCACTACTACAAAATCACCTGGGGATGCATTTCTCAAAACATGTCCCCACCATTAAGTATCTCATGTTCCACAATCTGCCATGGATGAATTATTCTTACTACTAAGGGGAAAGAGGGTGCGGGAAGAAGAGATGAGGGTAATATAGACTATTTTAAGTAAATTAGAAAAGTATATCAATATATACCATACGTGATTTAAAATGTCTTATCCTCTCTACCACTCGGTTTAGGCAAAACAGCGCACAAATTACTACACAAAAGCTGCAGAGCCTCAGCTCCTGCTAATTCAGCTAATGAAAGAGACTCAAGCTGCCACCAACACACCATTTAATTATGACTAACACTTGTTTTACAATCCAGTTTATGGACACTGGCTGTTTAAAAACTGTTACTTCTCAGTTCCCTGTTCTTAAACACTAGGTAGTTGAAACAATTAACTGGTTAGTACTACCACTAGGTGATGAGAAGGGCTGTGACACCACCCACCGGGTCATGCTCTCCAAGTTGACATTGTCACCTGAACTGATTTCTCGGCTTAAACGTGCCCCTTCTTAAAACCTTCACTGGTAGGTACCTCAGCAAGCAGTGTCTAGGTAAAAATTCAAGCAGGTAATATAGGCTTGTTTAACTCTTGTTCCATCAAGGAGGAAGACCCTTTTTGGACATGACACACTTTCACCAAGTAGAAAGATAAATTTATGTATTTTTTTGCACAGTACATCAAAATCATATGCCAGGGTTGCTGGTGAATATGAGCCCAGTGTTATCCCACAGCCCTCAGGAGACTCATTTCTCTCTTCTTAAACCAACTTTTCCTGGCATGCACTCCACCCCTGCATCTGAACTCAAAAACGGAATGGTTTCAAGCCAAGCCTTCCTGTACACTAAGATTCCATTAAGAATTCCTTTTCACCCAAGTCCCAGACTGTGTCTGAAGTGCCCTTAACCCCTCCAGCTCCACCTCTTCATACTCACTGTTGCTGGACTTAAGGTCACGGTGGATGATGGGGACAATTGCCTCATCGTGTAAGTAGTTCATCCCTCTGGCAATCTGCACAGCCCAGTTGACCAGGATGTCTGGGGGGATCCTTTTCCCAGATAACACTCTATTCAGAGGCCCTCCACGAGCAAACTCCATGACCAAGCAGAGGTTGGGTTCCTTCAGACACACTCCCCTTAGGGCAATGATGTTGGGGTGCTTCAGCATAGCAAAGAGCTTGGCCTCCTGACGAACATTCTCTATGGTCTGGCTGATGTCTTCATCAGGGTCATGGCGAGCTGCTTTCACGGCAACTTCATCTCCTATCCAGAAAGCACGATAAACCTTTCCAAAGCCCCCGATGCCAATGATCTCTTCCAATGTTAGTTCTGCAAAATCAATCTCTAACACTGAGGAAGAAAAGGAAAAACAAAATCAAAACACTCCAAACACACCATTTGATTACCCATCAGCCTGGACAGGTAAATCTGAGCATTGGGTATTCACTTGCCTTTCTGTCTCCCCCACTCCAAGATATATCCATAAAGGAAGGAAATGTGCTGAACTTATTTTCCATTGTGATATCCTTAGTGACTAATGTATAGTATGCACTCAATAAATATTCATGAGATAATTTCCACTTGGAACATCATGCAGTGTTTGTATCAAGACCAATCATTCTAACCAAAGGGAACACGGGAAAGATAATCTTGATGAGACTTATCCAGCTTTTGCTGTGTGCTAAGTGGTGGGATGCCAGCACAGTGCCAGCACAGTGCCAAACAGATACACAACAACCAACCAGAGTGTGAATAGAGCCTTTGTATCAGTGTGAACAGAGGATTTGGGAAATCACTAACTCCCACCATGAGTTGGGGGGGTCAATGGGGGGGGTGAGAAGGGTGAGTGAGAAGCACATTCTCAGTGAAATGGACCCTAAAGAATGAGTGGGAGGGACTCCTAGGTATCTACCCAAAAGACTCAAAAACACTGATTGAAAAGATACCTGCACCCCCATGTTTATTGCTGCTTTATTTGCAATTGGAAAAACATGGAAGCAGCCCAAATGCCCAAAAGTAGATGACTGGATTAAAAAGATGTGGTACATATATACAATGGAATATTACTCAGCAACCAAAAAAGAGAAACACATGTCTTTTGCAGCAACTTGGATGGACTGGAAAAGATCATGCTTAGTGAGATAAGCCAGAAAGAGAAAGAAAAATACCGGATGGTTTCACTCATAGCAGGAGTATAATGGACCAGGAGAGAAAATAACAAGAAAAATGAACAACCATATACCAGAGACATTTTGCGGGGGTGGAATGGGGAATGGGATCAAAAACGGAGGGGTGGGGAGGGAAGTGCACAGATTATGGTGATGGCACATGGGTGACATGGTGATGGGAAACCCGCAGGGATTACAATCGAGATGGGAAAAAAAATGTACAAAATGATGTAAAAATAAACTGTTATAAAAAAATTAATTAAAATTTAAAAAAAATGAGTGGGAGGGATCTCATCAGGCAGTGAGGCTCTGCATGAAGAGGAACAATCCAGGCAGAGAGAAGAATATGGGGCATGAGAGTTTTATAAACAGAGTAGGGATTTCAGGAACTAATGCAGCTGGGTTACATGAGTTTGGATAGAAGATGAGGCTCAAAGTCTTGTTGGGGCAGTCAGGTCATGAAGTTAAGCAGCTCTGAGGACTTGAATTTCCTACTGTGATAGTTGTCATGTAACTTTAAGAAGGGAGTGCTGTTAGACCTGTAACTCTGGCATACAACCTGGAGGACAGGTTTCTGCAGCAACAGGAAATTCTAAGGACACTGCAGTGACCCAAGCATGTGAGCATGAGGGTCTGAACCTCAGCAGCAGTGAAAACAAGAAGTACAGAATAAACTGGGAGATTTTCAAAACTTGCTTTTGAAATAGTGTTCTTGCAACTTAGATATGCAGAAAAGTTCTGTCTCCAACAGGCATCTGGGCCACAGCAGATGTTCCTGTATCACATCCAATCACTCATTCTCCTTCCCAAATCCAGAGCTGAAACCTAAGGTCCTTGACTGTGTCTTTAGCTCAGTTTAGGATAACTGCAAGGCTAGATATCACAGCTACAGGTGGTTGCCAATGCTGGACTAGATGTGGTGCTCCTATGTGAGCAAAGTGTTATTTTATGTTTCTCATGAAAACCTGTTCTCTCTTCATTTTTTTGTTTACCTGGCTGACTCATACTCACCCCTTAGGTCTCAGCTTAAACATCAACTTCCTACAGAAACTTTTCCTAACCCCCTGAATAAATTAGGTGAGACCCCATCAAACACTTCCAGAGAAGTCTCTATTTGCAAGACTCATCAAGATCATGCGCCCTGTCAGGTTGTGAGATCCACAAGGGCAGATTCTGCCTGCCTTATTCAGCATAGTGCATGCTATGCTGAGCAACCCAATCAGTAGGTGGCCTATAGGACAGTTGAAATACAATGGAGTGGAGGAGGGATGTGGAGGGAAATCTACCTCAGGAAGAAGCAAACCAAACTCAGTTCAGCAATACCAAGGAAGCAACTGCAGACTAGTGGGTGTTCCCTTCCTTACCCAGCCAGTTGGATGTGTCCATTCTCCAGATGCGGGTGGGGCTCAAAATTCTGTTGTTGCTTAATAGTGGTGCTTGGCTCCCTTCTGGAGCTAATTTATATTTTGTAATGCAACAGTTTGTATACAGGAAACTCTATAGCCACTCTGGCACCAAAAGTTCCAACTGTTCAAGCTTATCACTTTGTCTATCACTCTTCCTAAAGAATAAAAGGTCTGGCAGATCCTTTACATCAGTTATAAGAATCTATTCTAAGATCCTTTTAGCATGCTTTGAGTACTACAGAGGCCAAGCAACTAAAAACTTGACAGCTATCTGGGTACAGATTAGGTTCTGTCAGTAAGAGGCACAAGACACGGAAGACAGAAGTGAAACAGACACATCTAGTTGTTTCTTCTGAAAAGCATGACTACAGAGAAGTGGGCTTTTCTACAATAGCATGTTGGTGTCCAGTCATCTGTTCTGTGGATGGGGAGAGGAATGTTTCATAGCAGAGTGGCTGCCTAATCTCTGAACTGCAGCTACAACAGCATGTTCTTGAAATGAACAGCTTAGCGTCAAAGGAATTTCCTGATTCTGCACCTTCCCAACTAGAGAAGCAGCCAGTGGGCCAGGTTTGCAAAGTTCTGAGAGTTTTCCCATAGGTCCAGCTGAGAGCCTATTCTCCCTGCCCTTCCCATAATTCAGTAGGCACCAGACTTCCGGTGTTAAATCACCTTCTGCCTAAAATAGCTTGAGTGTTTCTAGGTCCTAAAATGAACAGACTGAATTACTAATTCTTGCCTTTTCTCATCTGTATAAATTTCAAAAAATAAACCGACGTTAAAGAGAGATGAGTAGTCCTTCTGGAAAAATACATTACTGAGAGTCTTCTTGATGATGGAGGGAAGGAACACTCATTTTTTCTACCAGTTTTAAAACTGATGTAAAGATAGGTGCCTGTTTAACAGATTTGTATTAATATGTCTTATTTCCTCAACGGAATATATAAATTCCCTTTAAGAGAATTAACTGTTGTTTTTCTCTCATTGCTTTTACTCACCCTGGTCTAAAGCACAACAGATGTTAAATACTTGTTTGAATGTATGAGGATTTAAAAAGGTAATTCTGAGTGGGGTGCTGAAAGGACAGCTCCTTTGACAGCATTTTACAGAAGGCAGAAGACGTCTGTGGAGAAGGCAAAGTAACTTCTCTATTGGTACAATATAAATCTCAGGTTCTTGCTATTTAGTTACAAAAATATTCATGACTAGCCTTCAAGAAAAGTACAGAATACAATTTTCAAAAAATAGAAGACAGGGGGCGGGTGAAGAGGGTGCTGTCTTTTTCCATCTCTGCTAAGTCCGTTGGGTAGGAACTAGACCTTCAGTTGCAGCTGAGAGAATGTGAGGTTCTCCTTCCCTTTCCTCCCTCCCCTAGTCAAGACCTCATTTTAAGTAAGAATGAGGTCAAGTCGTATTCACAGGTTTTTCATTTTTCTGTGGAAGGATATTTCCAGGAATATCAGGAACAAACCTTATTCTTTTGACTTTTGAAAATAGTATTGCCTCTCAATTGTGTCTTAGCACATTCCGGTGGATTTTGAGCAAGTGAATAGTACATATTTTACTCATTTATTAATCTCAAGAAAATCTATCCTTTTATTTCCAGTGGGAAAAAGAAAAAAAAGTAAATTACTAATAACCTTCATTCACACCCTACTTGAAAACAATTTCCCTATCAGAGAAACCTCTGTAATACCTAGGATTATCTCCCTAGATGAAAAATTGAAACTATGTATTTTCCATCTTTCACTAAAAGAAGGTGAGTAAATTCCTGTGTTACTTATATTTGTCAGCTTGATGAAAAAGATAATTTGTAATAACTTACATTAGAGAAAGATAAAAACACCATATTAATGTTAGATGGTTTATAATATCACTATTATACTTTTTCTTGGTTATACGATTTAGCAATTTCCTCCTCCTCTGTTTTGAACAAAGCTTGAAACAGAATTTTCACCTTGAGGCAACACTTACAACTAAAATCGAGTATTACTACTTGAGAAGTGTGTTCTCTTTAAGATGTAATGCCACAGTGCCTGCCTCAAAGGGGAAGGACGTTCAAAGGGGAATGGGGAAACGTTATTAGTGGCTCAGTTTCACTCTAAGTATTTAGGGCCAAGATTACCAATCATCTTTATGTTCTGATACAGTGACAGAGAGACATAACTGAGTTGACAGTCAAAGCACATGTATCAGAGGAGCAGCTGTCGGTAACTTCCTGTGTTCATCTGCTTCAAAGCACTGCACTGAAATTACATATTTACATCATCAACCATCCACATGTGTAAATTATAAGCACCTCCTTGTTGTTTATTTTTTTTAGTACCCTGATATTTAACCCTGTACCTCTCTTTCACAAGACACTCTGATTTTTTAATGGAATTAAACTTTCCTGAATTATCAAGAGTTCCAGTTAAGATTGAAGCTCCTGGTGGGGTGTTAAAAAAAAAACAAACCTAACAAGATCTTCCAATGTTCTTTAAGTCGATTACTATATAAGCACAAGGAACTTAGGTACTTCCTAGTTTTCTCACTGACTTCTAGCTGTAGCAGTCTACAGCTAGGTAACTTTTGTTATGATAAAGTTAAGTCCTGGGTACCTAGCAGCAGGAGTGTCTAATAGCACACTGTTGTTGTCTTGTTTCCTGTGGGTTGGCTCTTCCAGTCTAGTCATATTCACTCCCTGCTGCTCTTACCGCCAGGACACAAGATGTTAAGAGTTCCTGCTCAAGAGCCTCACATGGCTCTCCCACTGTGACATTAGCTGTTCCTGAAAACAATTCAAAAACTTCTACTGAGAACCTTGAATTTTACTTAAGCTTGTAACTACACTGTGTTTTCTAACATGCCAGATCAATCTTTCAATATTTCTTGCAATTTGTGATCATCTACAACTATTTCAGACATTATGCTAGAAACCTTAGCCGCCTTCTTTCCAATACTAGTGCCAAAACAAAGTAATACCTAGAAACAATTTAAAATAATTGGCTGCCTCCAGGCATTATGGAGTTCAAAATACCGAAACAGAAGTTTTAAACTGATGAAAGAGAAACAATGAAAACTGAAGATCTGAACATCCATTTGACAGTCAAAACACCAATTAAAAAAAGACAGAAGGGTAGAAAAATAAGGCTAGATTTGAAATTGATAGTATTTAAAAGAACATCTTAAACTAAAGTAATATAATTGTTGAAATATTACAAGTGAAATTTTAAAATCAAATGTTTAATTGTTGGTCTTTGGTAGTAATTTTTTAAAATCAACTAAGATGTGAAGTATACCAAATATGGGATAAACAATATGTGGAATGACATTTTTCAACCAGAAAGAAACATGAGGACCCTCAAATACAAACAGTGTGAACTGTAGAGATATTCACATCTTTGTTCTAAAACTACCTAGAATAACTGATTGGAGATTTTAATGGCAATTTAACTCCTTTGAAAAAATAAAGGAAATTGCATTATGGGTGTGGAACAGGGGCTCCTGGGAAAACAGCGAAAACCAGGACACTGAAAGAAAGGCCCTGGGAGGGGACCCCTGGGCCTGGTCCCCCTGAGATCTGGCAAATACTAAACCTAAGCAAAGTTTGGTATTTGGAGAAGGGAGAAAATGTATTTTTTAATAGTCTGGATGTCAAGGGACTGGGACTTAGCCACGTACCTTGTGTCCCTGATCTCTCATTGGGGCATGACATACTTTTCCTTCTCTAATCATTTCTCCATCTATGGCTTGCCCCAATCCCCTCTACACCACCCTGTCTTGCCTATTACTTATTGAAAGTCCAGGTGGTACAACCTCTGAAATGCAAAATTAGGATTTAGAAATCTACACTGACATCTCAAAGACAGATACAAAGTCTAAGAAGCCTAGTTCACACAAGCTTCCCAGTCAACCCAGTATTGCCAGGGACACCCCCATCTCCTTCAAAGCAAATGCATTTTAGGGGCGGGGACAGGCAGGCAACTGAAAAGGTCGGCAAGGTGCCTGATGTGGGGACTAGACAGTTTTCCAAATCGGAGGGTGGGAGGCAATGGAGAGAATCTCATCTGGGGCTTCAGGGTGTGTAAGTCAGAAGCAGTTGCTGAGGTGGTCAGATGAAGGTTAAGAAGCCTAAGTGCTTGAGATTCCAGGCAAGGCCTGCGGTGTCTTTTATCCATCGCACCAAAAAAAGCTGAGGCAGCCCGAGAGCGCGCGCACGCACACACCCCCAGGTCAATCACACCCCGTCCCCAACTTAAACGTGGGGAAGGGCTCGCTCCCTCCGCGACCACCCCAGGACTCCATTATCGCCCACCCACTCCCCGCCCCCCGGCCCGCGGTCGCCAGGCTTCCGGACCCGCCTTCGTCTTACACTGAATGGGCGGGTAGCAACTGGGGTCCTCGCCGCCCGGCTGGCAGCGGCTGGAGAAGGCGCTGCGCGGGGTCACGTAGTTGCTGGGGAAGATGCCCACCCGCTGGTTCAACTGGCCGGTCCACCAGCCTTCGTCGCCGGACACCTGCGAGTCTTTGGACAGCACTTCCACCACGTCGCCCAGCCGCAGGGTCAGCTCGTCCTCGCCCGCCGCCTCGTACTCGAACACCGCCGTCCAGTAGGGCAGCGGCGCGTCGGAGCCCAGCTCCCCGGGGGCCGCCGCCACCGCCTCCTCCTCTTCTTCCTCCTCCTCCTCGGCCCCGGCCCCCGCTCCATCCTCCCCCGGTGGGGTGGCAGCGGCGGCGCTCGCCAGGCAGCCGAGAAGCGCTCTGGAAGGCTCCATGGAGCGGCCGATCCATAGGGTGCGGGGCTGCCGCCGCCCGCAGGAGCCGCCGCCGCCTATTGTTCATGCGGCTCTGCAGAGCTGGGGGGACCCCCCTGCGGGGGCCGCGAGCCGGCGGGGCACCCCTGCTGGGGCGACCCCCCTCCCCCGACGGCGGCCGC